CCTTATTTAACACAAGAATTTGAAAATGATATTTATTCTTCCGAAGTGCGTTCACTAGGAAGTGATCTTGGGATCTTGATAGTTTATCCCATACTTTGACGCTTGATGTAGTTTCATGCTGAGTTATGCTTTATTGGAGAAATTAAACTATGTCGATGTTCTTCAAGTCTAGAGGCCCATTAAATTGGTATACTGATATCTTATTGGGTAGAGCAAAAAATTGGAAATAGTAAATTTATCAGTTCAGCATTAAGCAACATAAAATAATATTTACTAAGTTCTTCAATAGCTAAGGCATGTGAGAATCGATTATATTTTAGGAAACACGTGGAGCTCGTTCAGTTAAGTTCAAAATTGTGATTTTGAAATTTGCACTTTTATACTAATTATACTTTACAAAAAAGCAGAGAGCTGTTCAACTATAGAAACTGATGCCTATCAATTTTTGTCTTACGCAAATTGATTGCACGAAGTGGATTGAGGAGAAAGTGGATTTTAAAGATTGTTAGTTAGAACAAGAAGTTTCCTACTAAAATAGCTAGATTCCGTGATGAACATTGTAAAAATGAAATTTAAATTAACGCAATTGATTAGGTAGAATAAGGGATATTTGAGTCTTGGTATCAATAAAAACAAAATGCTACTCAAAGCTTGTTTTAATTGAAATTAGCAGCTTAGATTACCAAATTATGGTCAAATATAAACAAGACTTTTTTACAAACAAACTTTATTGAATGACAAGGTTAAACGAAAGTTAATGCAATGCTAGACATGCATGCTACAAATTGTCAATTATGTTTCAGGTTGTCTATGATGACATCGAAGGGGCTGGTGGAGCTGGAGCCTGAACCTACAAGGTAACAATTGTAATAAATGCTCTTTTGTTAAATTCAAAACAGTTATTAGCCAAGGTTGGTGGTTTTATTTTTTAAGTTAAGCCAAATGAGGTCATACCTTTTCAGTTATAGGGGCAACAGGTGGATTGACTGGTGGTTGGCGCTGGGCCTCTGGAATCTAACATAATAGATGGGGAAAGAAATATTGATTAACCAAGTCACGTAAAGTATGAATTGAATTAATAGTGTGCATGAGTAATTATATTTTATGAATGTGAACTACCGAACTTGGTTCAATTAGCCTCGTAAGTGAAAGCAAATAAAAAATAAACAATATTAGTCTACTTTTAGAAAATGGAAGAGACGAACCAGTAAATAACCGTGCTCGTTTAGTTGAGTAAATCATGTCAATTTGACCACAAGTAATGCGATAAATTAAAACAATTTTTGGCTTTAAAATTCCAAAAAAATCAATTTTACCTGAGCTTCAACTTGAGTTTGTTGAGGCCCTGCAGCACTACCGATCACAGCAGCAGGAGCTACTGGCTAAAATTCAATCGCATTATTTTCGATAAACTTCTGAATTATAATTGTGAAATATATGAGAATTGCATGCAGTTGTGCGTGCTTTTTAAAGAAATGAGGTTCAAATCTTGTTGATGTGCAAAAGCTACTGAGTCTCAAAGTTGATCATAAATAGCATAACCTCTGTGTTTTTTACATCTTCCCCAAAGCAAACAAACAAACGCATTATACCTTTGTTTCTGCTTGAGGTTGTTGCAAACTTTGTGTAACTACGGTAACATTCACAGCATCAGTCTAAAAATGGAAACATTTAAAAAGACTGTTAATTCTCTCTTTAATTTGCAACACATGTCGGACATTTTCGTTACCTTAAGCAAATTTGATCAAATGATTTAAAAAATAAAAGTTTTTTATGTACCTTATAAATCAATTTGAAATAGATTACTATTATTAATACCAAAAACTAATATTTCGGAAAATGAAAGTAACTTGATATCAGTAACTGGTGTTGGGTCTATGTTCCTCTCTACAACTGTTGCTACCTACAAAATCAAATTATGCATTTTTAATTGAGAATTATTTATTCGATAAATCGTTCAGTTAATTTAATACGTTTCTATAGTCTAAAGAAAACATTATAAACTGATAAAGTCAAATAAATTATGAT